AGACAGATAGCAAGATATTTAGACACAGCATCAGTCAAGTGCCTAGTCCATGCATTTTTTAACAACAAGACTTGCTGTGTGGTATCAATCAACATCTTATGGATAGACCACAGCGTGTGCAAAACACTGCTGCCAGACTCGTCACACGGACGGCAATGCTTGAACACATTACACCCGTCCTGAAAGAGCTGCACTGGCTACCTGTGAGACTCAGGATCGTGTTCAAGCTGATCATGTTTGTCTACAAATTGATCCATGGGTTATCCCCAGGAACTTAATGCCCTTTACAACCTGGACGAACACTGAGATCTGTAAACCGACTACAGCTTGCTGCTCCACCAACCAGCAGAACAACATATGGTGACAGAACCTTCCGAAAAGCAGGTGCAACTCTATTGAATGCACTGCCCGTTGATGTCAGGGGATCTGAAGATGTCAACACCTTTTTATCAAAAATCAAGATCATCCTCTTCAAAAGAGCATACGAGTGAGCGCTCTTGAGCAGGCAGTATGTCTGGATGGGTAGCGTTATATAAATGCTTAATTTGAATTGAATTTGAATACTTCAAAGGATGTCCACTGGAGTGTATAACAGCGCAACAGACTGACACATATTTTAGATAAATCTATCATCACAATGAAGCGGCGCAGCAGAAATTGATATATTCAACATGAAATAAGGTGTATTATATACATGAATTTTAAAGTGAATTAATTCCTTTCACTGCCACCAGCGTGAAAGGATAGACCTACCTGGTATTATCACTATTTGAGAGTGATTAATTTCCACATGCTTATGAGATACTAGTATACGTACAAGGGTATTTTATGAAAAGTAAGTTGTTACTTTAATTCACTACAAAAGTGAATGGCAAACATCAACTAAACACTATTTATTTAGTGGGAATCACTGTTTATTTCCTGTAAGTATTAGATCCAAAACAAACAAGGCAATTAAGGTGCCTCTTTATAACCTATGGTAAGCAAAATATGTAATTAAATGCGATACTAAATCATATACAACGTCAAGCCATGTATATGGGTCCTCACAAGTAAGGCACAAAGAGAATGGATACAACATGCATAAAATGTCAACAGACAGCCGTATCACTTTAGACCTGCACACCAAAGCATCAAACTATCATAAAGACCACTTTCAAAGGTATGGACAATCAAAACTTATGGCAAAATTTGTCTTCATAAAGTTGCCTTTAGTTCACATTTTGTGACATATAAATATCTTAAATCGACGAAACAATTCGTTTTACGATCAAACGATTATAATATGTAAATTCACAGTCGCGGCAACACACTTGGCTGCTATTGACGTAAGGATCAGTCAGGAGTGTGAGTTTATCGAGCGCGCAGGATGTTAAATAGCATAACCAGGACTCACAGACAGTTTTGGATAACAAGCAATCTGATTAATAAGTAATGATCGTGTGCGATTATCGCTGTTATAAGTCTTAATGACTTTTGGAAGTTCATATAAGAGTCTGTCGTGGTATTTAAGAAAAACAGAGTGAGTGAGTATGGTTTTAGGCCGCTTTTAGCAATATTCCAGCAATATCACGGCGGGGACACCCAAAATGGGCTTCACACATTGTACCCATGTCGGGAATCGAACCCGGGTCTTTTGCGTGACGAGCGAACGCTTTAACCACAAGGCTACCCGACCGCCCATTTAAGAAATAAACGACGAGAGGGAGTTGTTTATCGTACAATAAAACAATGCCGGGAAAAAAATCATGAGGGGTGACTTTCTCAATATAATCCGCCCTCGGCAATGTCAGACAAGTCCACGTTATGCACAGGTGGGTATTTCCCGTATATTCTATCAATCTTCACGTCGATTATCTGTACCTTTTCTCCCAATACCCATTGTCACATCTCTCCCGCTTTTGGATGCGATCGTTCGGCCATCGCGTTTATCTGCGTTGCTCAGGTTCATCTATGGGGCACAACTCACAAGACACTCCCCCCCCCCCCCGTCTTATATACGATGTCATCAAGTAGCGAGCGCATGTTCGAATCTCCAGAAATGACACTTCGTTCTTTATTGTCGTTCGCGATTTATCGCGTAGCTATCTTATATATGTTAATTTAATGCAAAGCAGATAATATATTTAATACCATAAGATAACAGTCATATTTTGACGTAAAAATGTACACTATATGAAAGATTAACATAATTTTCAGTTCCCGCACCGTATTTTCCCGTCCAGTGATATCATCGCTTCCAGTGCTTGTTTACTTTTTCCCATAGTCAGGATCTGAAACTGCATCACATGGAATGAAGACCCGGAAACTAATTTCAAGTTATCAAATGATGACAGGGTAAACGTTTTGTACATCAGGACACAGGAGGAAACGTATGTTTCCTTTTGAAACTTAAATGACTTCTTGTGTACAATATATTATGCAACCTTTCATTCTTTTCAGGGGTATAGATATTCTAAATAATGGTTACCTCGAGATTGAGCGCCGCTGTTCTGATATGGAGATGCGTTGATGGACTCGTACGATACTGGAGGAGCTTCTGTCATGTCTTCGTATGTACTTGTCTCTGATTTGGGCTCGACTGAAAATATGTTTCGTGACACATTTACAAAGAACAAATTCAAATGTTACACATCTGTGTAAACGTAACACAACGTTTAATAGCACACCGATGATCTGGCAGTACCTCAACTGAGTTTGTCAACTGAGAACTGCTATAGTATATAAAATGTCAAAGTATCCATCTACCGTTTGTATTCTCATAAATCTTCAACTGTGTGTAATGTTGTTTTTCCGAAGCCTCTTTATCCATGCTTGGGTACTGAGCTGGACTTTTGACGTGATCTGTAACAAATCAGTACGAACATACAATAACGGTGTTAGGGGGGAGTAGAAACAGTCATATTTGTGAACAAAACAATCTATCTGACGAACATTGCTGACTTCAACCTACCCAAGGATGAATATCCTATGTTTTCCATTTCTTCTTTTTCGGGATTCCTTGTGCTACAAAAGTAAAGAGAGGTCTGTTTATGGCAATTAATAATGGAAAGGAACATCTTCAATATATGATTTGTTTTCTGATTTTAAAGGACATCTACCTTATTACAAAAGAAAATATTTCAAAACGTTTTATTCATACATTTAGTCTACCTTTTGTGTAAAGCAGCTCCTGCAAAGAAGAGAATGCATTATATAGTACCCTGTAATACACACATTAAACATGTTGCAAAGGGAGAATATGAAATGTGAAACGTCAATGACTTAATACAAGAAATATCAACAACAGTTTGTGTTATAATCAATTCCATTTACATTCCCAAACTGTATGTGCTCATTCTGAGTCAGTGCTGATTTAGATGCGTAGGTAATCTCACTTTCACGCATATCATTCATGTATATCTCCTGAAGGCACATTTCAATGAAATATCGACAAATCACCTTTTCACTCTACGTGCAATACTGTTGTTAGGTAAACATGATATTTAACAACATACCTTTCAAGATGTTTCCAAACCTGAACCCCTTCCTATAGAGGACAATCAGAACTAGGCCTTCAATCAGCAAGGTAAGAAGGAGGGTTCCTATCGTACTTCCTGCTATTACACCTGTGATGTTATATTCGGCTTTGAGTGGTTGCTGGCTTTTTGGACCTGCAGTATAAAATGGGTATTATATGAAATAAGTATTGACTTCTTTTTACTGAAAACAGACTTTTGTATTTTGATCATGTGATGAGCTTGATAAAGGTGTCATTTACATCAAACAGGCTTTTTACTCCAAGCTTAACTGAATGAGGGGGAGTTACCAATTGCACCTATTAATCCCTCCAGAAACAGATAAAGGTACTCACAGCTGACATTGAATGTCCTGACATCAGATTGGTTGTATCCTCCATACTGCCACGCCCCCAGACACTGACACTGCTGACTGTTCTGACTCCTGCTGACAACGAAGGAGAGAGCAGATGTCCTGGTCTGACCACTGTCACTGACCGATGCTGATCCAGTGCCCGGACAGGACCACGTGATAGTAGCTAGAGGATTTCCTCCTGTCAACGAACAGCTGATAGTCTCTGTGTCTCCTTCAAACATCAGAGTCTGAAATTCTGTGATGGAAGGAGGGACCGGCGGTGGGTCTGAAACAGGAACAGCCATGATAGTAACTGTATATAGAAATGCAAAAAGCATGGATGTGACAGTGGAGGACAATACTATATCTGAAATCGTTAAGTAGGTGTTATCCACTGTACACTACCTTCTTTCATTAAACAGTGTCCACAATACATACAAGAGTCAGTGGAAATATCATCTTTATATATCACTTTGCTCGCCACTGTATCTAAAATGATCTTACAACCTTCACATGTACTTCAAATGTGAATCTGAACTGCTATTAATCAATTGTAAACACGCACACTTGACATCCATTGATGCAGAACCAGTCTGTGTTGCTGATGTTCTGGTGTTTCTGACCTGACATCTCACTGTGGTCTTGTCTTTATTTGGCCTGAAGGTGAGAGTCTGTGACCACCAGGTAGAAGATCCTGTCACAGGCCCTGTGCTACCATCTACAGGTGTTCCATCAATGTAGTCCCAGTTGAAGGTCAGGTTGGGATAAACTGTGGTAGTACAGGTCAGGGTCAGGTTTCTGTTCTCGAAGGCTGCAGCGTTGTCTGGCATTGTGACATCAACCTGTTCTGGTCCGACTGCAATGCAGTAATATTATGTGTATTACTACTACCATACAGTTTAGTACAGTACATTACCTGCGGCTACACCATAATATTTACCATAAAGCATGTTCATAGATCGTTAATCAACATCAACGTGGTCTCCGTTATATTTAATTGACATGCTGTTAGCTGGAGAAATAATTGTGATCAAGGCACACCATGAGACTAGGTTTAAGTCGTTGTGGTATTTTGTCAAGTAATTAGATTGAATGACTGCCTTACTGCTACCAACGGCATCCAAGTCAGTGCACCAACTAAGGCTGAGGCTAATATTCAGCTCTACCTATCGACTCATTGACAAGTATATATCAAACATCCAGTAGAGAGTTACTCACACCACACTCCCACCCGGGCATTGTCGGACTGTACTGGGGAGGGGGTGTGGATGTTGGTGGCTCTACAGTAGACTGTGTGGCCCAGGTCTGACCTCCCCACAGAGTTGAAGGTCACGGTACTGGTTGTCTGGACAGCCACCCCAGTGGTGCTGTTACTGGAGATCCCCACTGTTACCTCAACACTGTTCTTGTACCACGTGACAGTAGCTGCAGGGTAGCTGGCCGAGGTTGCACACGTCAACGTCAGCGGTTGACCCTCAGCAGCCCCAACTTCCTGGTTGGCGGATGTGATGGTTGTAAGGGACACGCTGCTGACAGCAACTGTATAGAAAGTGAATTCATGCATTTAATATGAAAATACAGTATATAACAAAGTATAATAAAGTCCTTTGTATTGGTGTCAATATCATCGGCATCAGTCAATGTATCCTGTTTATTTATGATGTTTTGGTCATTTATACATTTACTTACTTTCCGGATAGGAATAGGTAGAGTTGACGGTAGTCTGTGTGTTGGATGCCTGGCAGTAGTACAGGGAGTTCCTACTGTTGCCTGTCAGCTGGTAGTTGATGGTGGCTGTCCAGCCAGTGTTTCCCTCCACTGCTGCTGGGCTGGTGGTCACACTAATCCCGTCTCTGTACAGCGTCATGGACGGCGGTGGGTTGGAGACAGCGACACAGGAGACAGATGTAGTGGTTCTAGCAATGGTAACACTGCTCAGAGGAACTGGAATTATAACATAGCTTTATGGAATATGGCGGTAGGTTGGAGACATTGTCTACATATTAAGTGGTTCTAGTGAAGGTATCACGGTTTGTGTGATCCTTAAGTACCTACCACTGTGACGTATGGCGTGTCTTTGAAGAAAGGAATCATATTATCAGACGTTGTAAAATATTATTATTATGCCCTGCAATTTACTGCGTGTAAATCTCACTTTGAAACCAGCTGTATCAGTATGTCACATTGAAACTTACAGTGATGGTTACCCTGTAGTTAAACAAGACGAACACATTACATACTTACCTGGAACATCCATCTGTATCTGGTAATGCTCTATGTTCCAATAACGATGGTCACACTGTAGTTTAACTAAACATACATATAACATACTTACCTGGAACATCCATCTGTATCCGGTTACGCCCTTTGTCCTTTTAATGATGGTTACACTGTAGTTTAACCAAGCTTACATATAACATACTTACCTGGAACATCCATCTGTATCTGGTTACGCTCTATGTTCCAATAACGATGGTCACACTGTAGTTTAACTAAACATACATATAAAATACTTACCTGGAACATCCATCTGTATCCGGTTACGCCCTTTGTCCTTTTAATGATGGTTACACTGTAGTTTAGCCAAACATACATCAAACATACTTTCCTGGAACATCCATCTGTATCTGGTTATGCTCTATGTTCCAATAACGATGGTCACACTCTAGTTTAACTAAACATACATATAACATACTTACCCGGAACATCCATCTGTATCCGGTTACGCCCTTTGTCCTTTTAATGATGGTTACACTGTAGTTTAACCAAGCATACGTATAACATACTTACCTGGAACATCCATCTGTATCTGGTTACGCCCTTTGTCCTTTTAATGATGGTCACACTGTAGTTTAACCAAGCATACGTATAACATACTTACCTGGAACATCCATCTGTATCCGGTTACGCCCTTTGTCCTTTTAATGATGGTCACACTGTAGTTTAGCCAAGCATACGTATAACATACTTACCTGGAACATCCATCTGTATCTGGTTACGCCCTTTGTCCTTTTAATGATGGTCACACTGTAGTTTAACTAAACATACACATAACATACTTACCTGGAACATCCATCTGTATCTGGTTACGCCCTTTGTCCTTTTAATGATGGTCACACTGTAGTTTAACTAAACATACATCAAACATACTTACCTGGAACATCTATCTGTATCTGGTTACTCGCTCTGCCCCCAAACTGATAGTCACACCTCCAGCTGAGTCTGTCTCTGCCGTACACGGCGTTGTTGATGGTGAGGGTGTAGTTGGTGGAGCTGGGGCAGGAGGTGGTGTAGTCAGCTGGGACAGATGGGGAGGTGGAGCTGCAGCTACCCTGACTTACTCTGTAGAATGTAGTTCTATTCAGCCACTGTATAGCTGTATGTGAAGCTTCTCCTGTGTAACACATCAGAGTACAGCTTCCCCCTGCCTGCACAGACCCTCCACATGATGACGTCAGCTGATAGTTCTGGGCATTAACTGAAACAGAAGTAAATACTAGTATATTGTAACTTGATATACTGAGGTTGACAGAACGATGTCCTACCCAATGTTTCACCATATGGACAGAATCTGTATTGCTGTAAACAACTTAAAGAGACAAACTTGCTAACAGGATGTGAATGTCAATAAAGGAGCATTTAAGGAGGCAAAAATATCTGCTATCCAGTATTCCACCTATCTGACTGATTCAACTGCTTTTATCACTTACAACACATCTGATGTCACTTTATTCACGATTTGGGGAACATGTGTCTTTGTTGTCTACGACAATGCAATTCACTCTGCAGTGTTGCATCTCTTTGCTTTTCCAGAGACATCTGATTGTGGGTTCGAATACCAGTTCTCCCTCATCATGTTTCTTGGTCAGTCCTTCCACACCCGCGCTCGTGGGTTTCACCAAAGTGAATGTCCAAGACGTGCCTATATTGTAGCTTTCTTCCTTTGGCAATCTGAGACGCCGAGCTGTAACTGAAATACTGTTCAAACCAGCGTTAAACCCACCCACTAACTCTTTTTGAAACAATTCTCGTTATTCCGTTTCATATAATAAACATAGTACGCAGTCAGGACCTGATAAAAGGTAAATATTTACCGAGATAGGTTATTTTTCTTTATTCATGTTTATGCTTTATGTTCACAACAATTAACCACGTGTATAAATCACACTCTTTACTATCAACATGCAGAGATACAGGGATATACCTGGAGGCGTGTCCTACCCGCTCACATATAAGTTTAATCTACTTCCTCGTTCTATTTTCAGCGACTGTATGTGTGGGGACAGAGGTGTGAGATTTATTACATTAACTCTGATAAAATGGCAAATTTCAGATGAACAAGAAAACAGTCAGATACGTGTACCTACCCACGTGTTTGTGACATATGTCCACCAAGATAGCTCCAACTGTGAGGATGAGACGGGTGTACAGCATGGCCATGTCGGCAGTGTGTGAAACTAGGCCGTGTGTCAGAAGTAATACATATTGGCGCTGGAGTACAATGTATTTAACTTCCGGCTTGAATGAATGGGCTAATGTAGACATAAAATAGGTCTTTGAGTGAACTATGAACCAAAAACTAGGTCGTGTGTCACACATTCTTGTAGCAGATATTAGTGTTGCGTATTACTGTATACGTATAGACTGTATGCATGTGTCTGTGTAGACATGGTATAGACGAGTATCCATTTATGATATTACAAGTAAGGTGAGTTAGTGCGTGATCGTGGCACGTGATCATCTAGCAGGACATGCGTTCTCTTTTCACAAACATCCAGTGTACTCACTGGTCTTCAGTGATCCTGTCATATTATTTCCATTGCTATTTGCCTTTTACGCCTAATGGAATTCTATGCGGATAATCGAGGTATCCTCAGGCGTTGCTATCTCTATTCCTAATCTCCATAGAGATGTGTATAATTTCAATGCAGAATGCTGTTACCAGAAAGGAGAAACTGCCAATGTCTTCTTAGTCTCTTTATTGAACCAGTGAACCACCACATATCTGTGCCTGTTTGTTACAGTCTGACTGTTGCAGTCCTTCTCACATATTGCCTTGATTCACAGGTCCTATAAACCAATGATCCAACTCTCCGTTGATTGGCTACTGACGTTGTGGGCGTGTAAAATTATGTGCATGAATTAAACAATCGCCTGATTTACGTCACGTCACAGTAAGTATTTCTAAACCTGGGATGTTTATCAATCTCGTCATTTTTGTCTGCTTTAATATATACAACTACTTTTGGTTATTGAGGTATGAATCGAAAAGCCGATGTGCAAACTTTTGTACGAATCCGCATTCAATACATTGCAATAACAACAATCACATCACACTTTGTTTTCTTGATATCATTGACTGATACTACTGGGAAGAAATATAGTACTCACTCGATCAGTCACGAAAAGAGAGAAACTACCAGTTCAAATGAACACTTTCCTGAATGTTGGTTGTGTAAACATGGCTGAATGACTGAGATTTTTGTTATCGTTCTTGTAAGTGTATCCGTCCTTGCTAATAATCACCTCGATATTGAGCACTACTGTTCTGGTAGGGGGACGCACTGATGGCCTCGTGGGATACTTGCGGCCCCACTGTCATGCCTTCGTAGGTACTTGTCTGTTATTCGGCATCAGCTGGAGATGTAAATGCTCAAATTAAAGCAAATCCTCTCCCACAAATGTTACCTGTATGGTACAGTAAACCTGGACAGTTAATTGTGACAACATCATACATGACAGGATCGGCATACCTGTTACTGGCAACTGTTATCTATGGGATCTTATAATCCGAAAACACCTTTCGAGTTTCATATATCTTAGCTGTGTCTACTGGGGTTTGTCTGATTCCTCCTTCGTCAAGTTAGAATATTGTTGTTGTCCACTGACGTGATCTGAAGAAAACCATAATGGTCATCGTATTATAAGCGTATTTTCGACTGAGAAGTGTCAAGAAGACACCCTTGTTGTAAGATGTTTGACGGATATTCAAGGATCTTTGGTTCAACACACACATCTTCTTTACGTTTGGTCAACACGATACTAACAAGTGTGAAGTTATGAAGTGTTCACTGCCTGTCTAGGCTGTGTTGTCCTCAGAGTCCGTGGGAGCTGTGTTGTCCTCAGAGTCCGTGGGAGCTGTGTTGTT